ACATGTCCACAGCCACACGCGAATCAACTCGCACAAGCAAAAACACAAACACAAACACACACAAACATACACTCACAATCACTCACACATACCACTAAACACACGAATTCTTTACTCCCATATAAACTGAGACACAAACTGTCAAACTCACATGTGCTCAATCACTCCCAAAATCACACACTCACTCACTCACTCACTCACTAACTCACTACCAGTCAACCACGGACAGTGTCAGGCCAACACATTCATCAATCCGCCAGTTGACACACAATCACACCTACACAATCACACGGATTGTTGCTTCTCAAACTCACACCCTACAAACCACCAACTCATCCACAATCACACAGAAACACACACACACACAGGAAATAGGGAGACTACACACGAACACAAACGCGCTCCCTCCCACGAAGGCGCTCACACACATACACATTTACGCACACACGCACACACACACACACACACACTCACTTCAACTCTCCTCACTCGATCCACTCCCTCAACACCATTGCATACACGCGAAACTCTCACTTCCCCTGTGCAATCATGCAAGTGTTGACCATTGCTTCCTGTCTTCTCTTCATCTCCCTCTATCTGCAGGTCTGCAGTCATCAGCTTCCACCATCTCCCCGTCGGCCAGTTACACCAGCCAGACAACTCCGTCTGGTCAGCCAACCTCTACGCCACACATATTCAACACGACAATCACATCACCAACACCCGGACGATCCGAGTCGCCGACAACTCAAACCACCTCCGAGACCAACGCCACCAACACTGGCACCACGTCCACAGGTGAGTCTGAACTTCACTCACACAAACACACAGATAGATACACGCACAATCACTCACTCACCCACACACGCACTCACACACTCCGACAGTCAGTCAGTCAGTCAATCATTTTTCATCTGAATCAGATACTCAGTGTGTAGCTCATTTAGTACCTCAGTTAGTCTCACCTCCCCCTACTCCACATCATACAACGCCCACCACTATCCACACCAATCTCCATCTCGAAAATCACCCAACACACAGACACTCACACACCACCACTATCCTCTCAATGAGTGAAGAACATGTCCACAGCCACACGCGAATCAACTCACACAAGCAAAGACACAAACACAAACACACACAAACATACACTCACAATCACTCACACATACCACTAAACACACGAATTCTTTACTCCCATATAAACTGAGACACAAACTGTCAAACTCACATGTGCTCAATCACTCCCAAAATCACACACTCACTCACTCACTCACTCACTAACTCACTACCAGTCAACCACGGACAGTGTCAGGCCAACACATTCATCAATCCGCCAGTTGACACACAATCACACCTACACAATCACACGGATTGTTGCTTCTCAAACTCACACCCTACAAACCACCAACTCATCCACAATCACACAGAAACACACACACACACAGGAAATAGGGAGACTACACACGAACACAAACGCGCTCCCTCCCACGAAGGCGCTCACACACATACACATTTACGCACACACTCGCACACACACACACACACTCACTTCAACTCTCCTCACTCGATCCACTCCCTCAACACCATTGCATACACGCGAAACTCTCACTTCCCCTGTGCAATCATGCAAGTGTTGACCATTGCTTCCTGTCTTCTCTTCATCTCCCTCTATCTGCAGGTCTGCAGTCATCAGCTTCCACCATCTCCCCGTCGGCCAGTTACACCAGCCAGACAACTCCGTCTGGTCAGCCAACCTCTACGCCACACATATTCAACACGACAATCACATCACCAACACCCGGACGATCTGAGTCGCCGACAACTCAAACCACCTCCGAGACCAACGCCACCAACACTGGGACCACGTCCACAGGTGAGTCTGAACTTCACTCACACAAACACACAGATAGATACACGCACAATCACTCACTCACCCACACACGCACTCACACACTCCGACAGTCAGTCAGTCAGTCAGTCATTTTTCATCTGAATCAGATACTCAGTGTGTAGCTCATTTAGTACCTCAGTTGGTCTCAACTCCTCCTACACCACATCATACAACGCCCACCACTATCCACACCAATCTCCATCTCGAAAATCACCCAACACACAGACACTCACACACCACCACTATCCTCTCAATGAGTGAAGAACATGTCCACAGCCACACGCGAATCAACTCACACAAGCAAAGACACAAACACAAACACACACAAACATACACTCACAATCACTCACACATACCACTAAACACACGAACTCTTTACTCCCATATAAACTGAGACACAAACTGTCAAACTCACATGTGCTCAATCACTCCCAAAATCACACACTCACTCACTCACTCACTCACTCACTACCAGTCAACCACGGACAGTGTCAGGCCAACACATTCATCAATCCGCCAGTTGACACACAATCACGCCTACACAATCACACGGATTGTTGCTGCTCAAACTCACACCCTACAAACCACCAACTCATCCACAATCACACACAAATACACACACACACACAGCAAATACGGGGACTACACACGAACACAAACGCGCTCCCTCCCACGAAGGCGCTCACACACATACACATTTACGCACAAACTCGCACACACACACACTCACTTCAACTCTCCTCACTCGATCCACTCCCTCAACACCATTGCATACACGCGAAACTCTCACTTCCCCTGTGCAATCATGCAAGTGTTGACCATTGCTTCCTGTCTTCTCTTCATCTCCCTCTATCTGCAGGTCTGCAGTCATCACCTCCCACCATCACCCCGTCGGCCAGTTACACCAGCCAGACAACTCCGTCTGGTCAGCCAACCTCTACGCCACACACTCTCAACACCACAATCACATCATCAACACCCGGACTATCCGAGTCGCCGACAACTCAAACCACCTCCGGGACCACCGCCACCAACACTGGCACCACGTCCACAGGTGAGTCTGAACTTCAATCACACACACACACACACACTTACCAACTCACTCACTCACTCACTCACTCACTCACTTCCTCCCTTAATACCTCAGTCAGTCTCACTTTCCCTTACTCCACATCATCGAACCCCCACCACTATCTACACAAATCTCGCTCTCGTGAATCACCTAGCACACAGACACTCACACATAAACGCAGACTCACACACTCACTCCCACTCGACGACTGTCTTCACAATGAGAGAAGCACATGTCCACAGCCACACAAACACGAACCTTCACAAGCACAAACACAAACACCCAAAAGCATACACTCACATTCACTCACACACCCCACTAGAAACACGAATTCATTATTCACATAAAAAATGAGACACAAAATTTCAAACTCGCATGTACTAAATCACTCCCGAAATCACACACACACTCACTCACTAAATCAATATTAGTCAATCACGGACAAAGTCAGGCGAACACATACATAAAATCGCCAGTTGACACGAAATAACACATATACAATAACACGGATTACTCCTGCTCAAAATCACACACTCGAATCCATTAAAAAATGCAAAAAACACAAAAAAAACAGAGACAAATTATTAAACAAATGCATCCAATCTCCCAAAGAGAGACAGTCACTCGGCCAACACATTCACGCAGCCACCCACTCACTCACACAATCACCCAATCACACACTCACCATCGCACTCACTTTCACACGGTCATCAACATGCACAGACACTGGTGCAAACACACACCTACAAATCGGCCGAAACACATGTGTGTCCACGCCCACATACACACTCACATTCACCACTGTCTCTCATCCATGTGCATGCATGCACGCGTGCAATTATACATGCACGCACGCAAGTAAGTATGCATGCAAGCAAATGCTAACCACTGCTTTCTGTCCTCTCTCCATCTCCCTCTATCTACAGGTCTGCAGTCATCACAGTCCACCATCACTCCGTCAGCCAGTGAAACCAGTCAGCCCACTCCGTCTCACCAGCCCACATCCACGCCACTCCTCCTCCACACCACAATCACACCGACAACACCCGGACTATCCGAGTCGCCCACAACTCCAACCACAACACTCAACACCGACATCATCGGAACCAACACCACTGTCACCACCTTCACTGGTGAGTCAATCTCAGTTTCCTCTCATTCTCCACACACCCGTCTTCCCAGTGATCATCTTCCTCACACTCCTCGTAAGCCTCGCCTACTCACACTCTTGCGCACATTCAAGCTACTCCGTCCTCTCCTAAACCCCGTATGCTAATTCCAACACTGCGCCAATCCACATCACACCCTCCAGTCAACTCGGAATCTCACACACTCCTCCTGAACTCACAACACACAAACACACAGGAAACACTCACACTGCCACACAAACCACAACCAACACACTCTCACAAACGAAACCAACACACAGACACACACTCATGCACACGCATGCACACGCGGACTCATGCAGACACATCCAATCACACATCGACACTCCAACACTCACAATCTCTCTCCGACTCAGGCAAAAACACACCAACAACCACACGAACACGCCCACACATTCACTCTCACACACACACACACAAACAAACAAACCCGATCCTACACATCGGATGATCACACACTCACACACGGAATACCTTAAACACGCAGATGCAACGACAACAATCACCATCTCCAAACACAAATCAACAACGTCAGAATGAGAACGACACTTGTTGTCGATATTTTTCGATGTTTTGATTTCCAGTGTATGCCCAAGTTAATATTCTCTCATATCGGCTCACGTCGTTCAGAGAAAATGTACCACAATGCAGTTAAATCATCGTTCTAAAATAATGCAATCAATAAATTGAAAGGAATGACTCGTGATTGTCAATGATTTCGTTGTAGTAACAAAGCATCGATTGTCTGTGAACAGGCGTCTTTTCACACGAAACAATCAATTCACAAGGGATATCAGTAGTATATTGCTTTTCTTATTTTGGTTCCTGTGTCACAATCCTTTTGTTATCGTTTCTCGACTTTTAGAAATCGTGGTCTTCCGACTTGCAACTGTATTATACACGGACAGCGAGAGAACACCGTATGTTTGGCAGCCTGATTTATCCAACACATCATCAAATGCATACATAAATCTAGCTCAAACATTTTGCAACAAGGTCAGTTAATCGTTTACAGTTTTATGCATTGAATGCAATTCACAATGATTCAGAACATGCATTTAGTGGATGACTTCGGTTTTGAGTCAGTTAAAAATTTAATAATACTCATAGATAATTTATTTTCTGCACGTTAAATGAAGTGCAACGGGTGCGATAAATCATAATAGTCATAGGAATAATCATGTCCAGATTCTAACGAAGATTCGAATTTCTCATTAAACCTCTAGCCACCGACGAGTAGCTCTCAATGCAATATCATTCAGATAGTTCATGCGACAGGCTCTCTTCCTTGTATATCTGAATTATTCATGTTGAATACAGAGAACACCGAATGTGCTGTCAAAAGATCAGGCGAAGTAATACCTAATATGGGAATGTCTGCGATTACATTTAATCAGGGAATTCGTGATACAGATTGAGCTGATTGATGAAACATTCAAAGTTCAATATCCACTTGGTTAATGACTCCACTTGTCAGCCCACTACACTTCTTGGCTTTCTAGTCTTGCCCACTAATAAAGATGACTGTTCATATCCACATTTTAAGAGATAATCTTCGTTTGGTACTGCTGTTCTGTTTGACCTACTTCATTCAGTTGAGGATGCTTCATTGCCCTTGCAAACAACGTTTTCAGCGCCAACTTCAGAATTAGGTGAGATTGTATGATTTGCGAGAGATGAAGTCACTGATTTTCTGATTATTCTGACTTGAACCTTACGAGCAGCAGAATAAGGGCAGCATTGATGACAACTGATCCAAGTCAGGATCATCAGGAAATTGGTCACTTCATTCATGGCGAATTCGGAAATCTCATTTAATTTTGAATTTACGGCTGAATATGTCGTCCGAAAGGGGATGGTGGAAGCTCCGCGATTGAAACACCGGGCACATAGGATGCAGTAACACTGGATATGTCTACTTGATGTACACATTCTCTACATCAATCCAAGAACATACGCCCATTTTCTTTGATAACGAAAGAATTTCACAAGACGGTGAGTGGAGATATTGCATTACAGTCAACATTACGAGGCAACTACAATGCAAACCATTTGACTGAATTCATTCGAACTAGTCAGAAACCACCCCTTCTTGTCGTTCAAATGATGTGCGCCCACAAAATTCCACATCACTTTTCATGGCGTCCACAATAATTACCTTTGAAATAATGACCTCTGAATTCTGGATTCATTTCTTTAGATTTTGGCCATTTTCAATCTATGGAATCCAGTTGCTTCCAAAGGAGCCCGATGTTACAATGTTGTATTTATACCAGTTGATTTTGTTATTCTTGAGAAAAGACAGTTGAATGCAACTGGTACCGAGGGACAGAATGCGACTCAAGGTGTGCAGGGGAACGCAGATATCGATTTGATTTCAACGAATGAGACAAATTTGAATGAAACGCAGTTGGTTGAAATCATTTCCTCTGTCCAAAATCAGTCAAATGTAACTTCGGATACATATTTTTTCAATGTACAAGCAATTCGTAAGTCACAAATATTTCTGGTAGTAGATTAAATGCAATGAAGCAGGTCAGATTAGGCTCGTATACAACAATAGTAATAATAATAACTGCTTTGTTCTACAAAGTTCGTCGTCGCATAAGACAGAATTTGAAGCTTGTCCTATGCCATGGTACTTAACCCATGTGCAAGACCTTCAAGTAATATAAACGTGATAGATAATGCACCATTTGAAGCAATATTGTTCTATCCAGAGCAGGTTCCATTGCTCTTGCGTTTACTTCAAAACATTCATATCAGTAGGTTGAGACCATACAATTCATGAAGGCAGTTGGATGTCTAAAACATCATGAAGTGCAGTAAGTATGCTGCGATGTGATGGATAGGAAAATTTGGTAGCCTGGTGTTTTCAGCAGGCCACCGGAATGCGTATATATATACATGTATATATAAGTGTATGTCAGATCCCAAACTGCTGGGCTAAGTAGTCTTCTGACATATCAAAATCTGAACGTAGATAAAGTGAATGGCTTGCGTTATTTAATTATACCAATTTCGGGAATGCGTGTTGGTGAATGGCACGTGTCTAGTATATTCAACTTCGTGTTGGTTTTTCGCTGTATGACTTCTAGAAATCGGCCGTGATGGTTTCCCATGACAGTCTGGAAGTCATTTTCATGTCTGGCTTTATGAGAACAATTATCATCCTAACTGCGAATATTTAAAATAACGTGAATCAGCCTACTCGTGTTTGCCAGTGAACAGCACTTCACTGCATGGCCTTCTCCTATTTGTTTTACAAAGCATAGAAGCCCTGCTCTTCATCCAGATCACCGGAAATCATATCAAACCTATGATGATGCCTGAATGTAATTTCCACTAATGATCCTCAGCAACCATAAGGAATACAAGTACCTCTCTGACACCGAACTATACCCGCGAAACAATTCAAGCCATAATTTTGTTCTCAATAAAGTGGGCACGATTTTATCGGGCTGATTTAATGGATTGGTATGTCATGAAGTTTACTGATCCTGCAGTAGACTTACCTGGCTTGTGGAGTTTACTATCTTGAGTTTTGTATCAATTGCTATGACATGAGTGAATCAGTTTTCGATGAAATATGCATTCAGTTTTAGTGCGTACATCCGCTATAGTATAAGTGTTGAGCTCAGAGAATGTTTGAAAACTTTGCAGTTTACCAATTGTAGTCTTCTACTTAACAAATCTGCCCACTGAAAGCGAAATGTATTTCTGAAAGGGGAAATTCTGTCAAACACTGTCAACCTAGGCTGATATGCATTTCTGTGCAAGACAAATGACATAACTGTCAGGTCGAATAGGTGATTAACTCAAATTCTATTCAACAAGGTGTTATCAACGAAAAATGTCCACAGGATTTTGTACTAAACTACTCACACACGCGTCTCACTAGTTTTATGCGCCAGCCAATTATTCGATCAAAGAAAGTGTATACGTTCACAGAGAAGCGAAAGTACAGGAAAAGAAATTGGGATAGCTGTACTCTTTGTCATTTTTTTCCTGGGTTCGTCATCCAATACGCAATGTGGTGAAATCAGTAGATAATAAAGCCCAAAACACATTTTTCCTTACTACAACATGCCAATCCCAATTTTTTTCTTTCTTTTCTTCAAGGGACTTATGTCGCACCTACAGCGATGACGGTGTCATCAGCACCTTTGACACAGACGACAAGAGAATTGCAGGGAGCAACTGAAAGTTTTTTTAACTTCACATCAACAACCACGACTGATGGGCATTTTACTTCCCAAGTCTATACATCAGGTAAGTTTCTTTATTTGTGCTACTGTGCTCATTCAATCACTATATGTTTGAATGAAGTGTCAATAAAGTTGCAAGATATTTAGAATGAAGCGGTGTACTACTGATCTGACAGAAGTATCTAGTGATCACTGATCAAGTAGACACCACACAGTTCTCCGGATGGTATTCATCTCCACACAATTGTCAGCCTCGAGAAGAATACAATTTGCATGCTGGACAATATAATTTTCAATAAAGAAGGAGATCGATATAAACCAACAATTGGACTTCATCATATATTGATATCTTTTGTCATGGGATTCCAATCCTGCATTCAGTTTCTCTCCATCCAAGGAATTTTCACGTCTAGAAACCTGTTATCTCATCTACATGAGAGTGATTGCTTGTAAAACTGTTGTCCGCGATAAGTGGAAAGCTTTTCTAAAATGAATACACAATGTGGAAGATATAGACATTTCAGTCTAGAAAACCAACGTCAAAGTGCACTTGGAACAGAAAATTAAATGTGCATACAGACGTCATCAATGTTCGAATATCTAGCTATTTCAACCTAGTCAGAATGATACTATCAATGCATATTGTATTCGGGATGAGTGTTAGACAGTTGTGTTAACTTTCTTCTGAAAAACAGGTAATAAACGATGTCATCCGCTCCTTGATTCGACGTGCAGGTAACCTCTCGGATCGCTTCAACACGAGAATAGTAGGCAGTGTTTGACAACTGCACTATTTGCAATTATTAGTGTTCTCTGAGCTGGTTGGTTTAGTTGCGGAGCTTTCGTCGTCTTTCTGAACGACATCTTCAGCGTAGTATTTAGGATAAAGTGAAATGATTAAAATGATCGCATCATTTCCAATATTTCACCACAATCGCTCAGAACTACTATGATTGCGTCTGATTGTTAAGATAGTGGTGAAAATCCATGTGGCGAATCTGAATTCCTTTATCGTCGAAGTAATGGCGGGATGTAGACTGGTAAGAATGAGTTGACTTTGTGTTAAGTAAATTTCATTGAGTACACACTCAACCGATTGCGTATCACTTAAATGTAAGACGTGTGGACTCTGACGCTAGTGAAATTATGAGAGACATTTAGTCGAATCCTGCATTGTGAATCTAGCCGCAGATTTTTCAAATGCATGCGAATTGTTTCACTATCCATTGAACAGAATTAAATGTGTATATTCGAAATACAACTCGGATAAATTATAAGGTGAGCAGTGAGTAAAAGGCATATCAGGGTAAGCGCTTAGCACACAACATACACAAGTGCCACAAAACGACATAATGAGGAAAACTAATACAAAACACATGTATTCACACCAAAATTAGCATAAGGGATCACGAGAAATCGAAGTGAGGCGGAAGTCAGACAACGGAAGCATAAAGCCACGCATAGGAAAAATTCCATAAAAGACTTGAAGCGAATAAGTGAAAAGCTCTGGAATGGGACTGTAGAAGTAAAAAGCTGGGGAGAAATAGAATGCGGATAGAAAATAGTCCTAAATAGTGGAAACCTCACACAACCAATGAAATAAGAACACGGATAAAAATCAAAAGAGAATCCAAAATAATCAAAGAAAAATCCCGCTTAAACAGAAGCGAAGAAGCCAGCGAGTCATAATAATAGTGATATTAATTATAATAAATGCTTTTGTCGAAAAAGTTCTTCTGGCACAAATGTGGAATTTTCAGCGTGTAATGCAATATCGAATCTAATTCCCTCACTAATTGAAATAGGGTATTTATACTAATATTGTTGTTCAATAAGAAGTGAATTTGAAATTAAATCAAGTGAAAATATTAGCAGTGAGGGACTTCCCATTGTGAAACGTGTACTGCTTGCTACCAGCAATATAGGAATGCAATCACTTGATAATCCAGCACTTCGCGCGTAACGCAGCAGGCTTGTCTAACATAGAAGGCCTAGGTACAGAGTCGAAGGCAGATGTGTAATCTAGAAAGGCACACCGAAAACCTTTGGCACCTCTATCTACAATAGAGACAATGCTATGATATAAGACGACACTGGCATCTAATATACACCTATCATGTTCACAAGCAAATTTATTAGGATCGTTAAATGCCTTCAATGAAGGTTCAAGACTAAGTAAAAGTAGTCTTTCCACTGTTTTAAAAAATGGTGAAGTAATGGTAATGGTAATAGGTTTGAAGTTGACAGTTCGCCCACTTGATGATTTAGGCACAGGAACAATGTTAATGTCTTTCCAAGAAGTAGGCACAGTGTTAATTGGAAATGAACCATTAAAAAAGCAGTGAGAGGACAACATAAAACATCAGCACATTTATTGAGGATAATATCTAGTACATCATTTGCATCAAGGGACTGCGTAAGTTTCAGGGATATGAGACACTTGAAGACATCGTTTGAGTTAATATCGGAGAAGTGGTCATTGTTTGTATTTGTAGCATTTGAGAGCGTAACATCAGCTGATGGGCATATACAGGACTAACTAAAAGTACCAGCACCAACTGCAGAAGAATCATTATTTATTTCCTTACCCTTGTTGATTTCCTTAACCAACCTCCACATATTTGATGAGTTTTCGCATGATAATAACTTTGGCTATAGATGAAATTGAATCTCTGTATTTATAGTTTAATTTAAATGTTCAGTTTTTAAACACCAGGATTGTCATTCATTTTGTGCAACTATTCTTTTTCTCAGCGAAGCTTTCTGAGCTGAGCAGAGGAAAAGTGGTCGAGTCTTGTGAAGAGTGTCTCTTTTGAACAACAAACATCAAGATGGACTTTGAAACAAGGAGTTACGTGAACTACTGTGTCATATAGAACTTGTTCAGTACACAAGTTCCAATTTGTATCATTTTTCATGTTTCTGGATAACAAATACTGTCATGCGAGTAAAATCTATATTGTGTTTGCCTTCCAAGGCTCATGAAGGCCCTTTTTGCAGCTTTCCATATATTTTCGGCTATTTTTCTAGCTTCAGATAGCCGAAGTCATTTGCAAACACTAGATCAAGGATATTTTTATTCGTGTTGGAATGTTGAAAATATCTTCATGACCGTAAGATGCAAGGAAAATGAAGTTACACCAACTGAAATCGCCAGTAACTACTAACAAGGAGTGTCCAAGGGAGGTCCTTCAAATGTATATGTAGTTGTATTCGGGTGAGTGTTTCTGTTAACATTTAACGGTGAGGCAGACAATCTCGTCACTAGGGAGTCTACAAATACATTATTTGAAGTACACAATTGAGAATTAACGAAGTTTGGAACGCCACCATCACATTTCCTTGTGGAGCCACGTCGAATTTGTCTGGATAATTTGAAATCATTTAGACAAACAAATTATCATCATATTGGCCATGCAACCAGGTTTCTTGAAGAGTTATAACACCAGCATTGAGAAATACATTCGAGAACACGAGAGATTGCAGACAGTTATTTTTTCCTGGCAAAGAACGATAGCATGCGTCCATAATCTGCCACACAGTTGTTTCAGGAATTCGAATGTTTCGGAGGCACGTTGTCGTCAGCAATGATGAAGGTCAACAGATACCTAACAAATCACTCCATCCGCAGGTTTACCCAACGTATAAGCTTCGACAATCAATAAAAAAATACATGAAAAAATTCAGAAGAAAACAAGTCTAAACATAGGAGACAAGCAAAATAAGAGGAAAAAAGAAATAATCAAAAGAAACCAGGAAAATAGGGAGGCAGAGAAACAGAAAAAACAAGATTAAACAGCACAAAAAGGAGCCATAAAAATACACATATTCCCATACAACAACTAAACTAAACTAAAACAGACAAAGACAGAGACACATGAACCCAGAGCAGCACGAAGTCGCTCAAATACAGAAAAAAGAATATTTAAACAAAACAAAAACTCCACAAAAACCATCGAAAACTTGTGAAAACGCATCGAACACAGGTGAATATACATCGAATATTTGCGATGCACAGTTCACAAAATATTTCAATCATATCTTCATCTCCCTCTATCTGCAGGTCTGCAGTCATCACCTCCCACCATCACCCCGTCGGCCAGTTACACCAGCCAGACAACTCCGTCTGGTCAGCCAACCTCTACGCCACACACTCTCAACACCACAATCACATCATCAACACCCGGACTATCCGAGTCGCCGACAACTCAAACCACCTCCGGGACCACCGCTACCAACACTGGGACCACGTCCACAGGTGAGTCTGCCTGTCACTCACACACACACACACACTCACCAACTCACTCACTCACTCACTCACTCACTTCCTCCCTTAATACCTCAGTCAGTCTCACTTCCCCCTACTCCACATCATCGAACGCCCACACACTATCCACACAAATCTCGCTCTCGTGAATCACCAAGCACACAGACACTCACACATAAACGCAGACTCACACACTCACTCCCACTCGACGACTGTCTTCAAAATGAGAGAAGCACATGTCCACAGCCACACAAACACGAACCTTCACAAGCACAAACACAAACACCCAAAAGCATACACTCACATTCACTCACACACCCCACTAGAAACACGAATTCATTATTCACATAAAAAATGAGACACAAAATTTCAAACTCGCATGTACTAAATCACTCCCGAAATCACACACACACTCACTCACTAAATCAATATTAGTCAATCACGGATAAAGTCAGGCGAACACATACATAAAATCGCCAGTTGACACGAAATAACACATATACAATAACACGGATTACTCCTGCTCAAAATCACACACTCGAATCCATTAAAAAATGCAAAAAACACAAAAAAAACAGAGACAAATAAGTAAAGGAATACATCCAATTCCCAAAGAGAGACAGTCACTCGGCCCACACATTCACGCAGCCACCCACTCACTCACACAATCACCCAATCACTCACTCACCAACTCATCCACAAACTCAATCACACACTCGCCATCGCACTCACTTTCACACGGTCATCAACATGCACAGACACTGGTGCAAACACACACCTACAAATCGGCCGAAACA